GCGCCGCCGCGGAGGGGCTCCGGAGGGGGGGCAGCCCATGCGCACCTGGGATGCCCCCCCGCCGGCTTCCCCCGAGGCTTTCAAAGCCGCAGAGGGGCTCCGGCGGGCCGCGCATGGGCTGCCCCCCCTCCGGAGCCCCTCCGCGCCGCCGCGGAGGGGCTCCGGAGGGGGGGCAGCCCATGCGCACCTGGGATGCCCCCCCGCCGGCTTCCCCCGAGGCTTTCAAAGCCGCAGAGGGGCTCCGGCGGCAGGGCATCCGGCGTACAAGACGACCCCCTATTTTTGGGGGATGTTTTTTAACTTCAGAGGTCGTCTTGTACGCCGGAATATACGGTAAATGTAGTTTGATTCTCTAACGTACTACCTGAAAGTTATGGTACAAACTTCTGTGAATCCTGTTTTCATCATCAGGTGCTGGAAAGCTAACCTGTCAAAGACGCAGTTTTCAATAACTTGCCATTTTTTAGTTTGTTTTTAATAAAAGGGCAGTAGCCCCCCCTTTTTTGGGGGCTAGGTTTTTGTCTTGAGTTATCATTTCTACATCTTGCACTGCAATAGGTAACTTGAGCTTTTTTTAAAGCTCCCTGTTCAATTATGTAATGCCTGAAGTACAAATTAAAAACTTTCAGAAGTATTCATGGGGGAAGTCCAAATGAAATGCCTCCTTTCCCTCCCTCCCCGCCCTTCCTTGAGTCCAGAAATGGATTGCTCAGAGAATTGTTACTCTGGACCCATTTCAGTAAAAACATTCCAGTTAGGCACATCCTTAAGTCTGTTGAAGAAAGTTCATAATAAAAAATATTTAGGTTTTGTATTTTATAACAACTCTTTTCAGTAAAAGATAATGTCTGCATGAAATGAAGGTTTGTGTCACAGTAAAGAGTTAATATAAAGGTGAAAAAATTATTTCACATATCTTACGCTTAGTGATCTGCAAAGAAAGAATATGTTTTTCAAGAGAAGCTAGTCTTTGAAAGGGGTATTTTATTTGGGGCTTTTTTTCTTTTTCACAATATTAGGATTAGAAAGTCTGATTTTTGTCGTTTTGCTGGAGCTCTTGGTGGTCCTGTACATGGACCATGAGCGATCTTAATCACTATATGGACTCTAACAAAGCCATTTCTTTCCTGTTTGTTCAGACATTGAAGCTGTTTTGTTTTAAGGAGCCTAAGTAAGTTATTCTTCTCAGGTTTGACTTGACAAGAGGCATGGGCCGTGTCTTGGGTGGCAGAGCTGGGGCTGAGGGCTTGCCTCTCCTAGCCCTAGGTTCACCCACCACCACCCATGTTTAAACTCAATGTCTACACTGCAGACTTCTTGCGCAAGAACTGTTTTGCGCAAGAGTTTCTGCACACAAATTCTTGTGCAAGAGCGCGTCCACGCTGCCATGTGCTTTTGCGCAAGAGCGTCCATGGCAGTGTGGGCGCTCTCTTGAGCAAGAAAGCTCTGATGGCCATTTTAGTCATAGGAGTTCCTTGCACAAGAAACCTCTGTTGCCTGTCCACACTGCCTTCTTGCACAAGAAGGCTTATTCCTCGTGGGGAGAGGAATAACTCTTGTGCAAGAAGCCCTCTTTTCTGATGCTTTACTGTAAATTTACTTGTGCAAGAATGCGCGTGCAGTGTAGACGCTCTGCAAGTTTTTGTGCAAGAATGGTAATTCTTGTGCAAAAAGCCTGTAGAGTAGATGTAGCCAAAGTGAAGTATTCTAGTTTACAAGATAATGCAATATTTTTATGTACATGAGTGGCTCAGTCTCACAGGTTCGTAAACAATTCCTGTGCCCATACTAAGCATCTCAGAAAATTGTCCTATCATAGTGTATCCTCCTGGTTTGGGAAATGTAGACCTTTCAGGCTGCCATATGTCCATAGTTGCTACATTAGAATAGTATTGCATCACAAATTAGCTGCTTGCACAAATTAAGAGTAGCTGTTAAATTAATTGGTTTCAGCAAGTGTTTAACCAACTCGTAATAAATTTAAATAGTTAACTGTATTATAATTATGTATGCTTATCATAACTTCTTTTCACCTTTCTTAAGAAAAATCCTCTAATTTTTGTTTAACAAATATTTTTACTACCTTTAATCTTGTTTAATAAAGCAATATAATATATTTTGTTTCTTGTAGCTCACTGGAGTGTTGGATGACTGCTTGTGTGATATAGAAAGCATTGATAACTTCAACACTTACAAGATCTTCCCTAAAATACAGAAACTGCAAGAACGGGACTACTTCAGATATTACAAGGTATAGTAAGAATGGCACTTTTGGACATAGCTGTCCAATGAAAACCTACAGAGTATTTGATCTATGGACTAGCATTGTCCTGATTTTCTTTTTTCTGAAATTTGATGAATTTCTTTCTTAGCAGCCCAAAATTCCCTTTTATCCCTTAATAGTGTTTAGTTGTTTGATTGAAAATTATACTAATGTTACCTATGGTATATGCCACCTGTGGTATGTGCCATAAACTAATGTTGTCTGTGGTATATACATGGCTGAATACAGGAGTAAATCACTAAAAATGAAGTCCAATGGACAAATGATTTTTTTACAGTTAAATATTTTTGAATACCTATGTGTAAAAACTGAAATGACATACAGGCAGTCCCCGGGTTACGCGGATTCGACTTACATCAGATCCGTACTTACGAATGGGGCTTTTCTCGCCCTGGAGGACGCGGGCGGCGGGGACCACCCAGACGCACCGCGGTCCCGCCGCCCGCGTCCTACGGGGTGAGAAAAGCTGCTCCGCGTGTCCCCCCAGCAGACCAGGGAGACGCGGAGCAAAGCCACGGAGGACGCGGGCGGCGGGACCACCCAGAGGGGACCTACCCGGCTGCACCCCAGCTGCTCTACCCCAGGTGTCCCCAAGTCAGCTGCTGCTGAAACTGATCAGCGGCTGATTCCAGGTAGTCAGCCGCTAGTCAGTTTCAGCAGCGGCTGAATCTGGACGCCAGTTCCGACTTACGTACAAATTCAACTTAAGAACAAACCTACAGTCCCTATCTTGTATGTAACCCGGGGACTTCCTGTACTTACTTTCCAATAGTTGACAGCGCTTGTTTCTTGGCAAGTCATCAGGTCTCAATCTTCATCATATTATTACCTTCTTTACTCAATGCCATCTAGATAACTGATAACCTCTTTGGTATTATTCCTTTTAAAAAGAGATAGGAATCTCAATTTTCAAATAGTGAGAAATTAATTATTTATTCTATCGTGGACATTTTGTTTCCATAATTACGCTTGTATTCGATGATGATCAAAAGTACAAGATTTTAGAGCATGAGCTTGACCTGTTTTATTAAATATCTTCCATGTATTGGTTGTAGAAAAAGTTAATACAGTAAAACTCCAGTGGTCCGGCATCCAGTGGTCCGGTACGTCTGATGGTCCGGCACCAACTATAACCCGGATGTGCTCCAGCAGCTGCTTCAAGTTGTTAGTCAATTACACTAACTGCGGCTGGATCTGCAGGCGACAGACTTGCAATTTATCTTTGCTCTGTCTATTGCCTCTGGGGAGGGGGAGGGGAAAGGGAGAGGGAAGGGAAGGGGACGGAGGTCAGCAGCAGGGGCGCCAAACTCTCCGTCATGTTGCAGGGTGGTGGAGAGGGGGTAAGAGGCAGGCAGCTGCTTGAGGAATTTCTAGTCAATTACACTGCCCCGGGTTGGATCCACAGCCGACAGGCTCTCAGTCTACCTTTCCTCTCTACTGCCTGGGGTAGGGGGTTGGCGGGCGGGGGGTGCTGAACCCTCCCTCCTGTTGCAGGGAGGCAAAGCCTGCGAGCGGCGGAAGGGAAGAGGCGGCGAGAAGCAGGCAGCTGCATTCAGGAAGTTCTAGTCAGTTACACTTACTCCGGCTGGATTCACAGCCGATAGGCTCTCAGTCTACCTTTCCTCTCTACTGCCCGGAGGGGGGCCAGGAGAGGGTAGGGTTCGGCGGGGGTGAGCTGAACCCTCCCTCCTCTTGCAGGGAGGGAAAGCCTGCAAGCGGCAGAACCAGAGAGGGAGGGAGAGGCAGGGCGCGTTCAAGAAGTTCTAATCAATTACACTGCCCCGGCAACAGGCTCGCAATCTACCTTTCCTCTCTACTGCCTAAGGGGGAACGGGTAGATCCGTAGGTGACAGGCTGCTGCTGAAACTCACAAGGGAGGGGAGATGATCTCTTGTGAGTTTCAGCAGCAGCCTGTCACCCACGGATCTACCCGTTCCCACCGTCCCCCTCCCCCTTGGGCAGTAGAGAGGAAAGGTAGATTGCGAGCCTGTTGCCGGGGAGTGTAATTGATTAGAACTTCTTGAAACAGCTGCCTGCCTCTCCCTCCCTCTCTGGTTCTGCCGCTTGCAGGCTTTGCCTCCCTGCAGCAGGAGGGAGGGGTTGGCACACGGCCACCCCCTCCCCCGCCCACCTCTACCTTCCTCT